TGTAGCCGATCCCATATAGTGGAACAACATGCTGTTGTATGATTTTCAATGTAAATCTAAAAGTTTCTTGCTTTAAGTTTTATTGCTTATTTTCCAATAATATTATTACAAATTGGTGTTAGAGCCAAGTTGATATTTAATTATGTCAACCATGAAATACAATATTTTTGTTGTTAGATCGCAACACCAAATCTTCGCAATGGCAGGTCTAGTTGCGAGCTATGCTTGTGCAAATGGATTTAAGTTGGTTACAGAGGAAAAGCAATGTAAAGATCGAAAGGCCCTATCTCAGCTACCGAATTAGATATGGCAGGATATTCTGAAGGAGAAAATTGTTATTGCAATTTGATTGAAGCAATTGTGCATGACAAAGACTCAACAACTATCACTATCTATTTTAACCGACCTGTTTTGTAATAACTCAAAAAAGATCTTCATATTGAGCACAAAGTAAACATTTGATATAAATTGAGGCCTCAATTTTCAAGCATATGAGAATTCTACCTTTGCCTTTCCTAGTTATTTTGGATTCATCATCAAATGAGATGCTTTCTCTTTTTTGCTTCATTAAGCTTAACGAACATGTTTCTTTCTCTATAATTTTTACTTCACTAGCATCTTCATAATTGACGGGTAATACTCTTGAAGAGTAAGTTGAAATTGATTCATATTTCTCCATAAATTAAAGTTTTAGCTCAACTCAAAAAGTTTGAAGATAAAACTTTTTGAACTTGCAACAAAAAGTGTTCTTTCAACAAGTTTGAAGCTTCTCTCAGTTTTGGGGTTGAAAATAAACCACCACAATGAAACAAACAAGAAAAATTGAAATACAGTGAAAAGTAAAGGGCATTGGGATTTAATATGAAAAAATTCAAACTTGGGAAAAAAACACAGAGCCACACTATATTAAGAAATTCACTATGAAAATGGGGAGAAACAAGTGCAGACCTCTCTTCTCTCTCACTCTCGCCTTGTTTCTCCTATTTTACATCGGTCTCACACTCAAAACATAGAAGAAAGTCAAGTAGATAACATCAAGGGACGTCACCCTTCAAAAAAATGAGAAAGAAAACTCTTCAGTTCGCCTCGCAGCACTGTGGCGCTCAAACCTACAACACTGTGACATTACATAGCGCTGCGACTCTCTGTTTTCTGTTGTTTCTCCCGTTAAACTTTGCAGCACCGGGACGCTTAGGAATATAGTGTAAGTTGCTTGGATACACAGTGTTGGGGAGTTGTACAAAAAATTCGTGTGCAAAACACCCGAACCCAAGCAAGCACGAGAAATTGACTTGAGGTTCGAGATACTTACAGCCCAATTGATCAACACACCTATATATATACTCTCTTGGATACCTTAAATCATGCCAATTTGTAGAATGGACACACTCTTATATCTCTCTTGGATACCTTAAATCATGCCAATTTGTAGAATAGCCACACTCTTATATCTCTTTGCCAAAATTTCACCCAACTATTGAAACTACAATAAAATCTCAATTCATAGTTTTTTCTTTTGTCAAAATTTCAATGACTTAATTGTGACACATTCAAATCCACCTGTTGATAGTTCATTGTTCTAGCCTTCTAGGCATTTGTTAACTTTATAAATACTTGTGATTTAGGTAGCATGTGCGTAATTTTTCCAAGTAAATTATTATATATAATTATAATTAACAAGCTTTTATTGAGGCATCATTGATTTGTGTTATGCTATTTTAATAATTGAGTTGAACATTTTGTATTCAAATTTCACATGTTTATTTAATGAATGATCGAATACAAATAATTATCAAACGAAACACGAGTTATTTGTAAACATCAAACTATTTTGACACCATTCTATTTGCACTACAGGTGTTCCACTGGAATGCGGAACACAAAATTTGACTACACATTGCATATTTATACATATCTAATAAACAAGAGGAACGAAGTTCCACAATTTATATAACTACAAGAGGATTTATTATTGAAATTTCTATATTATAAATAACTAAAAAGATTTATCCTAAGCCTTTTTAGTTACAAAGAATCCTAAGCAACTCCTATTATTGTTGTTCTTTATGAATCTAAGAAACAAATACTACACAAATACTACCCCCAGTTTGAGAACAATTATTACGTCCTCTGACCGGACGTAAAATTATGTTCGACCGCCAATAACATGTCACCACGTGGTCTTACTCTTTACTCAAAACTCGGTATTGCTCGGTATTTGCTCGGTATTGATTATTGCCGAGCAAAATCGACCAATACCTAGCAATATCGAGCAATACCTAGCAAAATCGAGAAATACCGAGCCATCCTGGGTCCGTTTCGGGTCGGGTTGTCAGGGCGGGCGGTAAATAGTGAGAACGCATGGCGCGATTCTACTGGCGGCCGAACGTAGAGCTACGTCCTATGACCTGACCAAATAAAAATTCCCAGTTTGAAACTAAGATAATGTATTATTTTACTGAAGCAGAATTAATTTTTTCAACTGAGCTACCAACATATCATAACGTTATTTTTTACGTAAATAAGGCATATTACATGCAAAAATAGGCAAATGCTATGAATAAATTGGTTTTAGATGATAGCGAATGCTTAAATACTAAACATCATTAGAGATGACAATCCTAATTTGTGATTAACTTGAAACTAACAAATGATTAAGGTCTTATAATTATTTTTGTACCTTAGGACGACTACTAAACGCTATGATTCAAGTGTTATGGAGAACAAATGAATAACTCTTATTGTACAAGAGTTGGTTCTTGAAAGTATTTGATTCCTGAAAGTATCTCCAATTAACTGTTGCTAAAATAATGGCATAATATTTAAGTTTGTCCACCACTCAGTTGCAAGTTGGTTGATTTTTTGAGAGCTAAAACCAGTTGAGGTAATAAATATCATGCATATATAACTTTAAAACTAATACTTGTCATGAGGAATATTAGGGGTGTCAATTCGGGTCAACGGGTCAGGTTTGGGTCGAATCCGGAACTGCCCCGACACTATTCGGGTCAACTCGAACCCGACCCGTTTTTCAAAATGGGACAGGTTTCCGGACCTGAACCGACCAGATTCGGGTCCGGGTCAACCCGACCCGACACGAATGACCCGAAGTTGACCTAAAATTGCTAGTTTTCGGGTCAAAAATAGGGTCAATCTCCGATTTTCGGGTTAAAATCGGATCAAAAAAGGGTCAATCTCGGGTTCCCAGGTCAAATAGGAGTTTTCGTGTCAATTTCGGGTCATTTTCGGGTTGTTGGGTCAACCCGAATCCGACCCGATTTTTAAAATGAGTTGATTTGTTGAACCCGAACCAGACCTGTTTCGGGTCCGGGTTGACCATAACCTGAAATTTTTCGGGTCGTGTCAAAAATTGACACCCCTAAGGAATATTATTTTAATTTCAGGACTTTTCGATGAGTTGGGTTCTTTCGCCACTTTGATTAAAATGTGTTAAAATTCTGATCAAAGCATCTTCTTATCTTAGGAATGAAGTTGGCTTTGAGCAATGGGTTTGTGCTTTTCTTCCCTAGAAATCACTGTAATTTGATGAAAAGTAATATTTCATAAAGCTCAATAATGTTATGAAGAGTGCACGTTAATTTCTAGTGATTACATTATTATAGATTTTGAGGATGATATTAATTTGTGGGAAAGGACATGTATATTTAAAAAGTTTGATGTTATGGGTCCCTCATACAAACATGCATTGGTTGTGGCTCGGGATCATACTATTTATTATTATTCTGTATGTTCCAAATTCTATATACATGAAGCATAATTAGCCATTTATACTGTAAATACATATCAAGTTGGAAGATAAAACACTTGGGAGGTTTCACATGAAATAAAAGGAGTTGCATATTATCCTCGTTGAACAAGTCTAACAGTGGTCATTCAAAGAAAAAATAGAAAGTCTTTAAAAGAGCATAACACAATATAACAATTTTGCGATTGAATTTTGTTTGAGCTATATTATAGTATTATTCAAATTAATATTTCTTATAATGGACCAAATAATTACTTTATGTTTAAGGTAAAAAATATTTTATTTTGAAAGAAAATTTTAAATATATTGTACAAGAAAATAAACAAGTCTAATTTCCTAGCCTAGATCGAGAGAAATTATTCTGTGCGGAATCTGGCTATAGAGTTGTGTTCGGATGCTTACGTGGAAAGTTAAAAGTCCGCAATATTTATTTGACTTGCGTATTGATTGAGTATTTATTGTGTATTCGTTGCGTAAAATGTGCGTATTGATTGAATATTTTATTGTGTATTTGTTGCGTATTTATTGAGTATTTGTTGCGTATATGTTACGCATTTTCTGCTTAATTACTGTTTATTTGTTGCGGATTTCTATTCGTATGCAGTAAGTGCGAAAAGACAAACGGGTCGGGTAAGAAGTCAAATGAATATCCTAACTTTTCACGTAAGCAAGCCACGTGTAATGATTTTACTGGCATCCGAATATAGCTCTATAACCGGATTCCGCACAGAATAATTTCTCCTAGATCGAAACCCAAACTCATGTGGGTTTGCCAATCAACACCAATGAAAAGCCCGACATGGGAACTTTTATTTGGTCCGGTGACCAGACGTCTACGTTCGATCACCACTGATATAGCGCCACGTAGCAGGCATAATACCGTGGATCCGACTCGGCGAATAGTGGGTATGTCGCATGTGCATATTTTAAATCCATGACTCGGTATTGCTCAGTCTTGCTAGGTATTGGTCGATTTTGCTCGGCAATAACGAGAAATACCATTATGTGAAGAGCAATACCGAGTTTTACTAGGAAAGCTAAGTATTGCTCGCTATTGGTCTTCACATAGAGATATTTTTCGTCGTCAAGCAATACCGAGCAATGCCTAGCAATATCGAGCAATACCGAGTAATACGCGAACATAACAATCCTGGGTTTCGGTCCAGGGTCAAATCATCAGGCCTCACGATATAAAATAAGAGCACGTGACGATATGTTATTGGTGTACAAGGCCACGTCACCTGACCTAATAATTGTTCCCGACATGGCCACCGGCTCATCGATAATTGTATGCTATGCCTCCCTCTCCCCAAATCCGACGACGAGCACTTCGCGCAAAGTTTCTGTGCAGCTTCGGCGGCACCATTCTCCTCTGCTTACTTGGCAACTGCTCCGACGATCAATGGCGTGATTTGAATTCCTTCCGTCTCCCACAACGCTCGTACAGCACATCCTTTTCCCTTCCAGGTAAAATCTGGTTTTCTCGGAGGTTTTGATCAATCATGCCATAGTTTCTTTGAGTAAAACGTTATATGCGAGATAGCGAACTACCATTGAATGCTCGGTTTGCCAGATGTTGCCTTACTAAAATGGGTCTTACCAAAGCTTGTGCGGATTCTGACAGAGACCCTATGTTTTGGTTCAGGACATGAAATTTGACCATGGAGGAAGCTTAGGAGCATGAAATGAGTTGAATTATTTTGTCTCTTTTAACTTAACAGCAGGTAGATGATGCATGAGTTACTTTATCTGGATATGGAGGAGTGGGGGAAAAATATTTTGGCAACCTGAACGCTGCTGATTTTTCTTTTGGAGGGGATTAATGAGATACAAATGGAGCATTTTGTGGGCATGGGGGCTATTATGATGCTAATGAAGCATTTTATTTGGATGGAAACTACTAATTTAGAAATGAAGTACTTCATCATTTCAGTCTCAGAAGAAAATTGCTGCGGTTCATCCGCACCTTACTGGTTTTGAAGATGCTATAGTTCAGTATAGGCAATAACCCTTCAGTTTGTAACATATGTCCTACATCAAATTTAGTATAATTTGCCTCGTCTTCTTCTCTAGTTAAAAGTTTAATCATGTTAAATGTAATTCATGTTGTGCAATAAACACTTTGGAAACAATAAATCACACAACAAACAACGCAAAGACATGACGATTTATGTGATTCGGCGAAGATGCCTACGTCCATGGGGAGGGGATAATGATTTCACTATATTGGAGAACAATAGAGATTACAATAGCTCTCAAGCTCTCTCTTTCTTTCTCTTACATACAATACAATAGCCCTCAAGCTCTATTTAAAGATTTGAAACAAGATATAATAAAGAAAATATAATTAATGCAAAGATTTAATCATGCCAATTAGATATCCTAATTAGTGCACCAATTAAGGGGTGTCAATATTTGACACGAGCTGAAAACCCGACTCAAACCCAACTCAAAAAATTCGAGTTATGGTCAACCCGTTTGAGAAACGGGTCAGTTTCGCGTCAACGATCGAGTTGCTCAAACCAGTTTTTTGGGCCCCAAATATCTGTGTGAACATACTTCAAGATACCATTTGTTCTGTGAATGGTAGTACCAAAAAATACACGTGTCTTCGCAAAACACACAATATTCACAAAGATCGACCTTGCAGGTACTTGCTCCTTTAATCATTCCTTTTTTCAGCAAAGTCATAAGCGAAGCCTCTCCCGCATGAGCTAACTGCATATGCCACAATGCAGTTGCATCAGAAGAATCATCATCAATAGCAGTCGTTCCAATCACTGTTCTTTCCTAAAGATAGTAAAGGTTATGGTGGCAAACTCCCTTCATAAAAACCAATATTTCATAATATATCTTCAGAACTTCTGTCTTAATGACTATCTTATAGCACTTAGCATCTAAAGCCCATACAAACAACAAATTCTTCCTGATATTTGGAACATGTCTCACATTAGTCAGCTCTCTCACAGTACCGTCATGAATTCTGATGAAGATGCTCCTTACACCAACTATACGACAAACTTGATCATTTCTCATAGTCACAACATCAATATCAAACTCTTTGTAGGTACAAAACCACTATCTAGTGGGACAAATGTGATAGGTAGCACCAATATCCATAATCCAGCTTAAGAATTTAGCTCTTAATAAAACACAATGGAGAAAAAGGATTAATGTAGTGGACCCCACGAAGTGGGATAAAGGTTTGTTGTTGTTGTGACAAATCTAGTTGCATTATGATAGAATGTTGAAAAAAGAGGTGTAGATAAAACCAAAAGCTGAAAGAAGAGAATTTGACTGTTATTGTGGAAAATGCTTAGGATTCGCTAACAAGATTTAAGACACAATGGAGAAAAAGGAGAAAAAGGATTAATGTAGCCGACCCCACGTAGTGGGATAAAGGCTTGTTGTTGTTGTGAAAAATTTAGCCTCATTATGATAGAATGTGAAAAAAGTGGCGTAGATAAAACTAAAAGCTGAAAGAAGAGACAATGAATGTTATTGTGTAAGATGCTTAGGATGCACTAATACTTAGTGCAAACAGTTTGATGCAAACATAGATATTAGACTCAAGCATATCTTTCTATTCTTCTTTCAACAAAGATCTAATGACAAACTACTACACATGCAATTATAGCTAAGCATTCTTTTTTGATGAAAAGTTCCTAAATATTGTGGGCATTGGAGATGTAATGGTTAAAAAAGCAAGTAATAACACCTTAAAGCTAAACAAAGTCAAGCATATCCTTGGTTTAAGGGGAAACCTGATATTTATCATACAACTAGCTATAAAAGAAAGTCACTTTCAATGATGATGCTTAAAAAGTGATAAAAATTACTTTGGTGATTGCTCAAGTCACTATAATACTTTTTTTGCGTCATGACCAATATAGGAACAATAGGAGTTGCTACAAATGTAAAGGCATATTCAAATATATGACATTAAAGATTAGGCCATATGAGCAAGAAAGGTTTAAATATTTTTCACTCTCAATATAAAATATCAAATTTAAAATATATTTAATCAACCTTTTATGAAGCTTGTGTTATATAAAAATAAATGATGGTTAGTTTCTGAATGATCAAGACAAAACTCAGATCTATAAGCTTGAGCTGATACACGTAGCTCTATGAGAGCCATCCCATCTTGTACAAGAAAGGCATGCTATTTTATTAAAGAATAAATATGATGTATTTGGCACTATTTTGAAGTTGAAGAGCTCAATGGAAAACAAAATTAAAACAAAAATCTTATACCTCTCATTTGATAATGGTGGGGAGCGCCCTTCATAACATATAAAAACTACTACAATGCTCATAGGATTCATATGGAGAAAGCAATCTTGTGAACTTTGAAATAAAATAGATTAGTTGATCGAATGAATAGAGCTCTCAATGAATGTGCAAAAAGCATGAGAATGCATTAAGGTCTTTTGAAGGTCTTCTAAGCATATGCAATAAACATGACATAATAACTATTGATTGAGGACCTTCAGTTGCACTAGGGGTGTAAACCAGTCGAGTCGAGTAGTGGCCTTATTGAGCTTGGCTCGTTAGCCAGAAATTTGGCTCGAACTCGAGCTCGAGCTCAAAGCTCAAAAAGCGAGCTCGAGCTTGACTCGTCGCACTGCAGTTCACCTCGTCGAGCTGCTCAATTCGAAGTTCAAACTCCAATTTCCCATGTTATTGTTTTCCCGCGAAACATTCCCACCCGTGTTTCGAATTCTCGTGTCCGATTCGCCTTCCGCAGCCGTTCTGAGTCACCTTCCGCATCCGCAACTAGAGCCTTCCGTCGTTCTGAGTTCCGAGGTCTGGTCCGCGAATCACGAATTCAAATGGGTATTCCGCGGGATTTTTAAAAAGGCATGAATAAACTAAATTTATTTTAAAAAAATATTAATAGTAGTTCGAGCCGGCTCGTGAGCTCACGAGTCAAGCTTCATCAAGCTCGAACTCGAGCTTGTGGCTCGATAAGCTCGGCTCGCGAGCTTTTTAACTAGTCGAACTCGTGCCAGATTGGCTCATTTACACCCCTAAGTTGCACTCAACTTTGTGATTATTAAAGTAGCCTTGATGGAGACTGATGTATATTATTGATGGTTTTTGGATGCCTATCATATGTTTATATTGATTATTATTATTTTTTTTTTGAAATATTATGTTGATTAATTCACCACGATAAAACTTGATCCAAAATATAATAAGTTTTATTACATTAAACATGATCGAGATAAGTTTGGATATAGATTATGGGATAGTGAAGGTAATAAAATTATTATAAGTGGAAATATTCTGTTTAATGAATATGTATTTTGCAAAGACAAGTCAAGCATTTACTATAAAAGACATCTCTACTCCAGATGTTGAACTAGAAGAGGCACCTTAAGCTACTAAGGAGCAGCCTTAGTACAATACACTTGCAAGTTGCAACTCAAGTCAGATGGTCACATAGAACTTACTAGTCAATTAGTTGTTATCATACTTCACTTTATTACTTATTGCTTAAAGATATGAGAGCCTAAGTGCTACAACGAAGCTATACAGGTAAATGGTTTTATCAAGTTAGAGCTTGCCACTAAAGAATAGATGGAATCTCTTTATAAGAATAGCATTTGGATATTAATTAAGTTGCCCAAAGACATGAAGGTATTGTAAAACAAATTGATAAACAATTTGAAGGAAGAACATAAATGAATCAAAAGGTAGAAATAAGGCTTGTTGCTAAGGAGTTCAGACAAAGAGAATGTATAAGCTTTACAAAGATGTTCTCTGTAGTAGTTAATTAATGATTATTCATTTAATACTGAGCATTATTACAACATAAAATCTATAGCTTGATAAGTGGATGTTAAGATAATTTTCCTCCATGATGACTTGGGGTTTTCATCTATATGCTACAATAGTAGGTTTTATTGAACTTGAAAAATGAAGTTTTATATTTAATTTAAATTAAAGACTTTATACTTTAAAACAAGCACTTCATTAATGATACCAAAAATTCGATGGATTTATGCATAGTATTGAATTTCGTAGATGCAATGTTGGTCATTGTTGCTATGTTAAAGAGGAAAATGTTTTATTTTTTTTACTATTCTATGTCGATGAGAAGTTAATTGTAGGGGCTAATACTTCGATTTGAGAGATGAGTCAAAGTAATTTTGCATGAAGGTTCTGGGAGAAGTGAAAAAGATTTTTGGGATAAGAATAGATCGTAACAAGGCCATAAGTACACTGTGTCTTTCACAATCACAATATATTGAAAGGCGTTAGATATGATCAATATCATAAATATAATGATTATAGGTATGTCGCTCATCAGCCAATTCAAATCATCTAAGGAACATTTTATATAAACTAAAGAGAAAAGGAAGATATGGCCAAAATCTTCTATTTATTAGCGATTGAATCACTTATGTATGCAGTGCCCTACAAAGATTACATATTGCTCAAACAGTGGGAGTACTTAGTAGATACATGTCCAATTTTAGAAAAAAAATGCAGGATGTTGTGAAGTTGATATTATATTATTTAAAAGATACGATCAACTGTATATGACGTTTAAAAGAACTAATGTAAAATTGTAGGTCTACGTTGATTCAGATTTAAGGGGAGACTTAAATGCTAGAAGAAGTATCACCTTGGTGGTACTACTATTAGTTGGGCGTCACAACTTTTGAATATAGTCGTGCTATCAATTATAGATGTTTAATACATAGCAGTTAGTGAAGCCACTAAGGAGATGGTTTGATTGAAATGTTTTCTAGAATGATTAAATTGATCCAAAAAAGTTGTCGTTCTCTTTTGTAATAGTCAAAGTATTATTCACTTAGCAAAAAACATTGTTGTCTATCATAATAAAATACATACAACTCAGGCACAACCACATATGTTATTTCCTTGAAGACGATGCCTTATAACTTATCAAAATTAAAGGAGCAGAAAACCTTAGTGATATGTTAGAAAAAGTGGTACTATTGAAAAACTGAGGCTTTTCAAATCCTCATTAATCTCTATGAATAATGATACGGAGGTGCTGCACATAGAAGTATTCATACATGATCACTATGCCGGTATATTGAAAATTTAGACTCCAAATGAGAGATTATTAAGTGTGGAGTCTAATTTCATTAATTGTCTTAGATAAGATTTAATCTTGATTTTTTAATATTGGATGATACCAACTTAAGATTCATTAAACTTTATTTTCTAAGATAGTGACTACATAACTCTGTGATGAGGTCGTAATAAACTATGTAAACTTATGTGTTTTGCGTTTGAGATCTTTGGTGTTATTGTGCTCTCATCTTCATTTAGGTTTTTTTTGCTTAAAATGTAATCACTATCCTAACATCCTCAAACTCACCAATGCGCGCCTACTTCACTTGCACTCGCTCGTGCATCTGTCTCAACTAATCTTGTGCATAATCTACTTCTTTGATCCTTTATTTTTCATCCAACTACATTAGGTCAAGCCATCTCTTGTAATATTTACCGGCTTCAACTCCCACAATGAGCAATTCCTCATAGGGTTGATTCCACATCGAGTGGTTTACATCAAATATAGTGGACTACTATCATCAATCTCTTAAACCCAACTCCAATGCTTTATAAATTTCTATTTCTGTTATCATGACATCAACAAAACCCAGGAAATTGAGTTGTTCAAGAGGCATAGCTTATAGCCTTATATGTGCAAGATACATGGCACATAAAATTATGATAGGGACTTTCCAAATGTTTAAAGTTCATTGTGGTGTCAATTTTATTGATTTATTTATATAGCTCATCAAAGTCATAAGCGTTCCTGCAGAAAAAAATTACTTTGAATATGATTTAGATTTTGCTTCATCAATAAGTTTATCTAGAACACCTGGATCAACGAAATAATAGTTTTTATAAATTAACTCTGAACATCATCGTTCATGTTGCATCAATGATCTCATATTCATTTGGAATTGTGTCTATGATTCTTACATGATTATATTTCGTGTGCTGCACAAACGATCCTCTGTTTTCTACAAAATTGTACAACGATATACCATTCTCAGTTTACGGTACTGTAATCCTGGTAATTAAAGATGTAATTTATTTTTTCATCTTTCGAGTGTGCTTTCTATATGACAATACTTTTTTCTCATACCTGCTTTGTTCTTTTTCTCCAGATGTTGTGAAGTTTGAGGACCTTTGCAATAATTTCTAAGTATGATTTCATGATGAGTTGATGGAGAAAATATGGGGGATTTGTTCTTCCATTCGCTGATGTTGATATTCATTGCATGTTTGGAACTTTCTACCCATGGTGAGATGCTTCGCTAATTGCCTGTTATGCTTTTCACATTGCACATCATAGGGAAAATGGATTGTCGCATTGCCTAAGAAAGAGAGAGGGAGAAAGAGGAAGAAGAAGAGGTAAATTGCAAACAAAGCAGAGACAAATATGATTGGGGAAATTTCCGTTATAGGTAAATGCCTATTTTTCTCGTGTTGTAAATAAATTTCGTTGTAAGATATTGACTATAATCAAAGTGGTTCTAAGATAAAACTGTTTTGTTTGAGATATAGACATAATTAGCAACTCCTTAAATAATTATTCTGATTTTCCTACTGGAAAACGAGCACAAAAGTAATTGTATACTACAAAATAACATTGAAAAATACTAATTGAAAAAAAAAAGTCTGGTGAGTCTGAAAGGCATGTCGTAACAAAATCAAGCTGCAATATATTTTTTTTGTCCTTTAACCGTGTTGTGTAATAGTAAAAAATGAACAAACTTGTGTAGCTTCCCTCTCTATGATTATTGGTCCTTGCCAAGATGTTAACTGAGTTTATTTTCGCTTGGATTATTATTCAGGCTATTCGTACTTCATACGCACCCTCATATTAGTTGCCCAACTCGCATGCCAAAAGCTTTGCCAAACGAATAGAATCTTCTGCCCAGTTTCGTTTCTTATAAAGCTTGTGGTTTCAAAAGCACAAGGTCTACAAATTCATTGTAAGCCAACCCTAACTGCATCACTTCTTTTCTGTCCAATAAATCATCATCCGGAACAAATGATTTTATGTACAAATGGAGTTTAGGAAACCACTCTGTGATGCAAACCATTGTATAATTTGTTTCCTAAAAACAAAACCTATCTTAAAGAAGCCCAACAAAACCACTAGTACAACAATAGCTTTGTTTCTATCTCAATACACTGAACACAAGAAAACAAAGTCAATCCAACCTCTATTAAAGTAGTGGATACTTTAATATCTGACCTTCAAGGAATTCGTACTTTTAAGTTGTTTTAGGTTTTTTGTAACATTGAGTTAGTTAGAATTACAAAGGCAGGGTTTCATCCTTGCAACCATGTAACTATGGAAAATTTAGTGCTTTAATTTCATTGCTCTAGGTTAGCCTGATCTTATCTCTTACATATTTTACCAGTTTTTTATACAGTTTTTATTAGTTTCATCTATTGATGCTTGTGATATGACTTTGGTTTGTTGGTTGGGAGCTTGGGGTACTTATCAAGATGTTTTGGGCTCGAGTCTTACGTATGTGATGTGTGTGTGAGTTTGTCTTAATTGACCTAAATATCCCCCCAAATGCGATTTGAAGTTAGATCAGCACCATTTGCTTTCTTTAGACGACTCAAAAGAATTGACATGTAATTTGAATATATTTTAGTCAGAAATATTGAGAGTGGGCCTAGAGCATTGGTTAAGGTGCCTCCATCAATACTTTGAGTTTATGGTTCAAGTCATTCTCTGCAAAGCTGTGTGTATCAACCGTTTCCCATATTCTGGATTAGCGAGGGCCTCATGGATTAGGTTACACTTTTTTCTATTGTGCAGAAATATAAGATATTTGTTAGTTCCATATACACAAAAAGCTTCCTATATTGAAGATAATTATATCATAAAAGAAATAAGCTCTAATCAAAGAAAAGGCTATTTGATTTAAAACTCACTAGGTAATTGTTTGAATTTTAATCAGTGTGATATTGTATTTGATTCACTTTGGCTCTATAATAACTCACTCAAAATTAGTTCAATTCTATTTCAAATTGACTCAATTTATATGAAATATCCATTTATATGCATATTTTTTCTCTTTCTCACCAACATGAGCGTGCACACATATGTACATGCAAACATCAATGCATGTTCTATGTGCACATGCGCACATATACTCTCTTTCTTTGTGCGTGTATATATATATATATACATACATACATACATGGGCGGAGGGAGGGGGGCACGTGCCCCTTGCCCCTTGTATCCCTGGGTAAAAAATGAGATAAGATCCAAAAGACTCAAAGTATTTCAAGTTCCTTATAATTTGTATGTGCTATCTTTCGTGATATTCATTTAAAGAGATTTGACAAATATCTTTCCAATGATAAAGATGGTGCTTCTAGTTAGTAAAATGTGGTCTTAATTGGGCAAGACAACCCAAATGAGAATCACCAAAGACTCATGAAAAACTATTTTAATGTGTTTTAACATTTCAGATGACATGACAAACATAACTATTTTAATTTAGGCCCCTACTCCGAGAAAGGTAGAGCTAGAATTACTTTGAACTGAATACAAAGTTTTATCTGATTGATGCCAACTGATCAACTCAATACTGGCAAACCTTGTACACAGGAGATACAGACAATGTCATATCAATATTTTATTTCCACTTTGGACTTGTGAACCAAGTCCCTTTCATACACAAATACAAAACTATACTTGATATGTGAATGTGACAATATTTTAGATAACAGAAATCTTAGCTAACACTGAACTTGGCCATCTTTATCAAGTATCTTTCTGCATGGAAGAAGTCATGAAGAAAAACCTGCAGTTCAGCTACTTCATGATCAAGATTGACTTACCCTGATCTGTTGTTCTAGAACAGAAGCCTTGTCCTCAATAATTTTTTTTTTTTTTGGTATTTTTATTTATCATATTTTTATAGTACATATGATATCATATTTGGAATGCTGTTGATTTTTATGAAAAAGATGATGCAACTGATTACCAACTCACACATATAATTTGGTCATGAATGCTTCTCTTTTCTTAAGCTAGGGTTAGCAAGTCAAAGAAGAGGACTATTGAAAAGGTCAAGAGGTTTTATCTTCTATTGTGCAAGGGATTATTATATGAAATGAGTGTATCATTGAGAAGGTTAGGAAGCTTAGGTCAATCTTTAAAGTAATGTTGGGGTTGTTTTTTTTTTGTTGGGGAGATTATTTGTTGACTCCATCCCAATAGTTTTTTAATTCATTGTTCTATTTTTTATATTTATTTGCATTAATATTATAATGCTAATAATTAATTTTTATTTAGAAAGGATAGACTAAAAAATAGTGGTATTAGATGTACATTTAAAGCAGCTTATATTTAAGATAGATGAAGAAAAATAGTCTTGGATGATTTAAACTTTGTTTGAGATAGCTTTCTTATTGCTTCTTAAAGCAGCTTTTTAGTACAAAATTCAAAATTTTGTACTAAGAAGCGGCTTTAAGAAGCAGAAAGAAAATTGTCCTAAACGAAACCTTATATATGGACAACAAAAGGTAAAATACTCATAAAGAGGTATTAAAAAAAGTGTAATAAACTTGTAGCACATGAGAAGTCCAAATATTTGCCAAAATAGGTTTAACATTTCTTGCGATTACTCCATAGATGGAGGGAAGGGATGAAAGTTGATCCTAAATAATTGAGCTTAAAGATTTGATTGGGATGGCTGTAATTTTTTTGTAAAGATTATTATAAAGTTATTGTGAGGAAAATAATTTTTTAAAAAAAAAATTGCTTTTTACTTTTTAGCATATAAAATTACGAAAAGCAATAATAAAATAGCAGTCAAACAAAAATGTGGTAGCAATTTGAAAAGTAAAACAATAAAAACTCGTCCCAAAATGATGTTGATTTTGATTATATAGTATCAATAAAAGGTGAGCATTGATCAAATATATTTATTAGTAATAATGTTATTTCAAAATTTAAAGAGCATAAAAAATTTCAATTGTTAATAATAATGATGTATATAATTATTAGATGTCTAAACTTAATGAATAAATAATTAAACAGTGAACTCAATAAAATAAAATAAAAATATTTTTGCAAATAACATATGAATTTAATTAACTATAAGAAAAAAAATTAAATAAATATATCAAATTTGATAAAAAAATCATTAAAACATATTATTCTTTATTAATAAAGTCAAACATTCAAATTATCAGCATTCAACATATAAGTAGTTAAAAATCGATTAAAATTCAATTATAATCCAAAATTAAGAAATTTAAGCAATAAACTTGAACAGAAATTTAAAGCTCAACTTAAAATTAATAAAAAAAAAAAACAAAATTTAAAACAAAATTAACGTCCACACGGAATTCAAAGCATTTTTCTATAAAAAAATTATGCAATAATGTATAATATGAAGCAGTCACTTTTAGCAAAAATCAATTTAGGCTTCGTTTGGGACGTCTTTTTTATTGATTTTTAAAACGGAATTGTAGTACAAATTTTTTAATTTTTTATTAAAATTCTGTTTTCAAAAGCAATAAAAAAATCGTCCCAAACGAAGTCTTAGTCAATCTCATATGTAGAGATATCAACATCTGTGCAACAACCATTAACAAACAAGGCAGCAGAAGTCTCACCATACCATGCATGGGACCAACATGTCTTTCTTCCCATGCAATGCACGCAAAAGATCTAATGAGCTTTGAAGTGGTAATGCTTGACAAGTTCTAACAATTTTTTTAAATAAAATTTCTAGCAAAGATAGTGAATATGAGGTTTTTTTTGGATAAATTTTTTATTATTTTATAAAATAATTTTTTAGCATAAAAAATTTTTGTAATGAAAAAATTATTATTGAAAGTAATAAGAAAATTATTCCAAACGAAGTCTAAGTCTTTTTATTATTTAAAGCAATTTTATAATACAACAATTTTAATTTTTATGCTAAAAATTTACTTTAAGTAGTAAGAAAGTCGTCCCAAATAAAGTCTAAGATTTTGTTTGGGACGGCTTTCTTACTATTTTTTTAAGGGCATTTTAATATAGATTTTTTTAGTTTAAAATTTTTTCGTACTAAAAAGCTGTTTTACAAAGTAATAAAAAAATCATCTACCTAAGCCTTATTAATAATAAGAAATTACCGTATGAATTCTAAAATAGAAATTGCTAGAGAAAAACTTTAATTGTATGAAGCTACATATAAGAGGTTTCTTGTAGGATTTGTATGCAGCTAGTCATGAGCTTTTGCTATGATTTGATGTTTTTATTGTTAAAAAAAAAAAAATTTGGTTTAGTCTTGTAATTTTTTTGTTAAAGAGATAAAATATGAATAATCAATCGCAGACTCTCAAAAATAAATATTGTATATGTGGGCTTGAATTTCGATCCTGACCAATTTGCTGTTAAAAAATTTTATGTATTTGTTCATATAACAAATTAAATGGCTAATTTTAATGAAAATTAGGTTGCTGGCATTTCTGATGTACATGATATTACTCTGTTAAAATTTGAATAGTTCAAAGCCCATTGTGGTATGTATTTCATATAGCTGCCAAACAATTGAGATGTGTAATGTAGCATGTCAAAACTTCCGCGGCGTTAGAGAGATAGAGAATTTAATGTCTTAGTTTTTAACGATGATCTAGTACACATACGTGTAAGAGATGAGTGCAAGAATTGTAAGTGAGGCTAGATTTTTAAGCGAAAAATCATGGAAAGGAAAAAAGCAGGGGACCGACCCAGTCAAAGTAATTCTATTAATATTTATATTTGATTACAAATAAAATACTTCTTGAAGGGAATGCATTGATACATTGCAAAGATCACATTAATTGGTTGAAGTTCAAAGAACCTCTTAGTAGGAATCCAGAAAAAAAATTGAGTGTTGAGGTTGGGAGCTATAATTTATGTCGAAGGTATGCATTAATCTTATAAGTGTCGATGTGTGTTGTTATTATAAAAAATGGTAAAAGATCAAATTGGTAGGCATTGGAATAGTCAAGTGACAATGGTCCAGAGATTGTAAGTCGGTAGATCGTACTTAGGCAACAACGGTCAGAGAACCACAATTGGCAGGTGACGGAGGTTGGAGGATTGTAGTAGGTGGGAGGAGAAGATCGGAGGATTGCATTCAACAAGTGATGAAGGTCAGAGGGATAAGGTCGACGAGCGATGAAGGTTGGAAGTATTGTAGTCGGTCGACGATAGTCGAATGACCGTATTCGGCCAACTATGGTTCGAGGATCATAATCAGAGGGTGACGAAGGACAAAAGAACCATAATCATGTCACAGTGGTCGGAAGGGTGTAGTCTAGCCATAGTTGTCGAAGAAGCGTACTTGAAGGGCGATGGAGGTTGGAAGAACCGTAGTCAGGTGACTATGGTTCAAACTCCAAAGACCGTAGTTGGCATGCGATGGAGGTCAGAAGGATCATAGTCAGACAATAGTGATTGAAAAATTGTATTGGATTAATGGTGTTTTAAGGTCCATGTTTGAGTGATGGTGGTCATAGGAATGTAATCAACGGGCAACAGTGATTCGAGGATTGTGGTCAGGAGATGGTGGTCAGAGGACCGTAATTGGTGGGCGATAGAGGTGAAACGACCATAGTTGGGTGCGACAGAGGTTGTCAATGATAGTTAGGCAGTGGCCTAGCCGTGGTACTCAGGTGTTGCTCTAGGGATCCTTTGAGCCTTAGAGCTCTCTTGAATCTCAATTCAAAGATCAAGCTCCAGCTATAATCTAATCCCCTTCCATGTAAAGAGTGGGGGTTTATTTATATATTTTTTAAGAGTGTCACGCCTGTAAATATGGAGAAAATTCAAAACAACACTCTGTCAAATGACCCATATTGATTCACATGTTCATAAAAAAGTTGTTCATCATTTAAGTTCCTTAATAATATTGGAATTAAGTGATCTTAGGTTTTCAGATTTTTCTCGTCAGGATGCCCGACTATAAGCATGCCAAATTAGGTGATCATTTGTTCATCCAATTAGCATCATTTAATTTTTTTATTATGCTTCAGACCCTTGATTTTTAGACCTATTTTTTCTATTTACTTACTAATTCTATTATACTTTATCATTTCACCAGAGCCAATCAATCGTTCCAAATCATATAAAATACGTCCAACGAGTATATACAAAATATTTCTTTCAAAATAATTAAATCACAATAGTTCAGATTACACTCTTTGCAACAAAACAAGAAACATAGAATCTGAACTATAAAATTATGTGCACCTTTCAAAATCAAAATTTTTGCTTTCTATAAGGCTTAATATACCCATCAGAACTCTTACTTTTGCCTTTTTTTTTTTTTTTTTTTTTTCTTTTTCCTTTTTTTTTTTTTTTTTCAATTTTCCCGAGAGCTTCATGTCGTTGCTCCACCAAGACCGACCCCGCAACACCAACAAAGAAAAATCCAAAACTTTTTACTCCTCAGATCCCAAGCCTTGACTATCTCTATCAACACTACAGAAAAATCACTGATTTCCGGCGGAATTTTCCGGCGGCTTTCTGGCGGCCACATTTCCGGCGGCTTTCCGGCGCATTTCCGACTGTTTTTTCCCATGGAATTATCCGGCGGAATTTCTGGCGGCTTTTTTAATTTTCCGATGGCTTTTAAAAATAAAAAAAAATGAATAAAATTTTAAGTATTTTTAATGATTTAACAAAAAATTAATAAAAGTTATATTAACTATTTAATTAATTTTCTTTTTAAAATTAATTAGTATTAGTCAATAATATAAGATATTAGATAATTTAAATGCAAAAATAATTGAAAAACAATGGTACCCTATACTTTTGAGGAGATTTTTTAAACCCCTTTTTTATCATTATGAGTTAAACAAAAATACAATCCTTGAACACTGTTTGATATATCTACTTCTCCTTTTTTTGTGGATTATGTAAGTTGATGTAGGTCAATAAGAACTACTAGTCAAAGAATGGATCTTCTGCATATTACTTGTGTTTTTATCATGTTTAATTAGGTGATAGATATTTATCTTATATATT